ATGGCTTGAATGTCTAACTTCAATTTAACCATGGTACTACGCGACGATCTTCTATTGTCTTTTTTAGGTAACTACCTCACATCTGACACGGATTGAACTCCACTGGTAACGGCTTCTTACCAGAACTTTGGAAATTTCCTCTCCAAGTTAGTCACTAATGAGCACACGATAATTGTAAGTATTTGGTTGTGAGACTCAACAAATTACACAACCCTATACTTACAATACTTATCAGTAGTTAAAATGATCGAACTATTTATTGCCTGGGGTTTACCTTTTACTCAGTGCATAATTCCTATATCATACACAATCGTCACTTGTACATTCACATTAACTCACCATACAATCTTGATTTACCGTGTGTATTTGGAGATCAATATCTGATGTCTTTGATATTTCAAATTTTTTCAAGGTGAATAAAAAACCTACATCAATAGATAATACTCATCACTAAAGTTTTATTTATCCCTCCATTCGTTTCAACCAAAGATCCGAGAATTTATGACAAATAATACAAATTATGCGATACTATTGTTCATAAAATACAAGAGTGAAATAGTTTTTTTCCCAATATTTGGGAAAAAAATTATGTTTTAGTAAATTTTACCACTTAAATAAAATAAATCTCAATAAATAAATTACTAAACAATTGAGGACTTGACTCTTTACCCTTTTATATTTCATATTATAGTTATGACTCGTATTTCAGTACACACACACATGTGTCTGTACTTTGACTAATTTACTATCAATCTAACTTTATAGTTGACTAAATAATCAGAATTACTTAATTGTTATTGTTTTGTAATAGATAATTTTAAACTCTGTTTACTTTTAATGATTTAAAAGTGCTTATCCCTTAGTTTGAACATTGTATTCAATATAAAAACTTATTATTACCATAAAGAATAAAGTCTAACTTTGTATACACACACACACACAAAAAAAAACGAATCTTTGTCGGTATTATGTTTGTGTTGCCGTGTAAATAGGATCTAGTCGGTTGTTGTGTTTTTTTAAAATCAAGCTAGAAAAATTGATCTTCTGATTTAGGGACATTAAATAATCACTTTTTTTTATTTCGCGTGATTCTCAACTGTTATTTATTGATTCCTAAAAGAAAATTATATGTGTTGTTAAATTTATGGTATTTATGCATATCATGTCTGTGTTATAAAGTGAAATTTTCTATAATTATTGGCATCTTATATTATTGGACTTGTTTATTGTTGAAATATCATCATATCTGCTGTTGGCTTAAATGATACCTCGATGTTTTCTGTAGTTACATTTTTAACTTTATACTTGAGAATGTCTGTTAATCAAATTAGGAATGCACATTTTCTTGGATTTAAGACGGTTGTGTGATCATGTTGATGTGAGTTACCGAAGTATAAGAACGATTTAGACCTGTTGAATTAAATGTGGTTGCTATAAATATTAAACTTTTAAATAATTTAATTCTACATTAATGGGAAGATATATATATATATATATAACAATAGGCTTGTCGACTTACTATGCATATTATTTTTCAAATCAATTATTTTAAGTATATATATTGTTAAAAATTCTCTTGGTATATATATATATATATATATATATATATATATATATATATATATATATATATATATATATATATATATTTAAAACTCCGATCCGATTTAATGTTTTTAACCTTAAGATATGTTATAGCACATACATCTGTTGTTCCTCTTTATATCTTCTTAGATCAAAGAACCATGCTGTTATAGTGTATGGTATTGTAGACGAGTTTATGTGAATTAGTGTAAGCTGATGCGTAATAAATCAAGTTTTAGAGGTTCTTGTAGTATGTGCAACTTAACCAGATGGCTGGAGTTACCTTAGGAATAAATTCCCTGATGAGGTGCAAATATAAATCAGTTTGTATTTAACCTGAAGGTACATTCTGTGGTGAGAGAGTGTGAGAGGATGTTTAATGAAAGAGAAACAAGAAAAAACTGAGTTTACTACTGAATAATCACTTACACAAGAGTAAGCTTAAAACAACCTAAAAACCGAATCTGGAAATTAGTAGAACAAGATTTGGAATATGCTACGATATTTATTACTTAACATATTTTTCATCACTTTTTTTCGTTTTAATAATAAGCAACTAATTTCTCTGTTTGGCAGTTTCGAATTGTTCAATTAGTTGTCAGATAATTTCTATGATACAACGATAATAAACAAGTTTGATTTTTCGTTATTTCTAGAATTGTAAATGTGATTTATTCACTAAACAAAGAAATACTACCTTATTTTAATACGATCACGTTGTTTTCATTAATCTAACCATCAGCTTATAAATCGACGTACATGATTTTAGCATTGTTATTAGTAGTCAAACCATCTTATCTATTTTCTAATTAGTTTGATTTGCGTATAGCATTAGTAGGTGGTTGATTGGAATTCTCCAGACCTTGTCGTTTCTCACTTATCTGCCACTGAAGTACAGTACAAATCGATTACTATTGAAATAGAAACTTGTAATACAAAGTCGATAGAATATGACCCAATTAGTTGACAAATACCCATGGGTTTGGGTATTATTAATTACTGATATGTTGCTATTCAGTGGCGTCAACAGGGTTGACTTATTGTTATTCACGTTGTTTAATTTTTCAGGGTTGTATTATGTACACATATTGTGTATGTATTGACTAGTGATACGATTTAAACTGTGTATATATGTGTACGCTTTCACGTTGATTCTGAAATGAATCAAAACGGTATTTTAAAATGTCTCGTTCGTTAATGAAATTAAAGTGGGTTATCTAGTGACTTACTCGAAGCGAATAACTTGACACTCATACATATTTAATAATTTTCATTCCACTACTGAGTTTATTATTTTGTTTCTGAAGTTATATATGCTTTTCATTATGGATCATTGGTTTATTTTGGTTAAAGCTGTTGACTAGAGATCTGTACTCCAGTTCATTGTCTTCTATTCGTAAAGTCGTTTAGAGTATCACTAGTATTTCAGACAATTCAATTGTATTAGAAGGTTAATTACATAGATATGTGATTGTTTTTATTGAGCTCAATTATTTGTATGTTTATATGTTTCGTTTCTAGGTTAAATCCATATTGTCTGCTTAGTTGTTAGTTTAATAATCACAAATAATGATGGTTGAACTAACATTAGGTTTCTGTTTTAAAAACTAAATATTTTACTATTTTCATCTTTTGATTGCATTAATGTTTTAAAAATCAAATATTGTTTTAATTTATCGTTGTTGATCAATTGTTTGAGAATAATTCATTTCAATATAGTAATTTAAAACTGTTAAGATTGTTTGTTCTTTCATGTCACTTCTATGGATGCACTTAAAATTTCCTTTGATGATTAGATCTAACAGAAGTAACTTTTTAATCTTTATTTAGACAATTTCTTTTGACAATATTTGTAATGTTTTTAATGATCGGTCAGCTTAATGATCCTATTGATTATTTGGTTTTTTCTTTCTTCACTGTCTAATCTAATGTTTGTAAATGAATGGTTGCAATTTTTGAGACTATTGAGTGATCAGTGATGAGGCTAGACTTAAACACTTGGTAAGGATATCAAATCAGTTGGTGAGGTAGTAAATCTTTATTGACTGAAGTGGTCGGAGTGTGTATTATGTCTAACCAACACCCTCACTTGGCGCATGATATTTGATTATTCAGAAGTAGATCTAAACAAAAATAAGGGTAGCTAAACCATTTAGTGGCATCAGTCCATGATTTCATTGACAATGAAACTGAGCCATGTTGGTAGGTGCAGACTGTCTGGTTGAGTTCCTAGCGATCATCAGTACCGGTGGTTGGGAACATAGTGTGGCTTGTCTCAGAATCGTCTATAATGATGCAGATATATTCACTTTATATCTTCCCTTAAATTTTGAGTCTCAAAATTATCTTATTTTATTCAACCAATTCATTTTTATTAAAATCACAAACTGATTTAAATTAGACAACCACTGAAAACCTGCGAGCACTGGATTTTCATGTTGTCTTAGTATGAAACTTCTTATCAGTTCTCATCCACGGCACCTCACGCAATGACTTATGCCAGAATTACGTTCTCACGCGTGGACGCTTAACTTAACCATTGAGCCGGGATCCAATGATGTATAAGTCTAACTGCAATCAATCTACGATATTATGTGACCATCTTTTCGGGCTTAATTCGCGGTTGCAGAATCTTGGATGCTCACGATAGAAAAGTTGCACAACAGGAGGAAATGGTTGCCTAATCCTTCCAGGTTTCCAATGGTTGTCTAGTCTAAGTCTGCGATAAATTCAACTATCTCCATAACCATATACTAACGGCCAATCTTTTTCAACAACATAGTCTATATCCGATCTTTCCTGTTACCACTGATAATGTCAATGCCTGTGTTACTTTGCGAATTATCTTTACAATCTCGCTTTGATGTACTGATAAGGTGTTGTGGCCAATTGAGCTGATGCACATGTGCGCCATATTGTGTACTTCTTATAACTGACTATTGGCTAACTGAAGTCAATCTATACTGTAATTGGAACTCAGCTTAGTGGCTTTTTGTAAACGATAGTAAACATAGATATAAATTTAATCACTTAAAATATGTGGATTTATGCCATAACTTGAATAATTGTACTGTAATTCTACTACACTCTAATCGTTGATTTTTATGTTTTGAATAATTTCATCAATATCATTTGATGTACCACTAGATATCAGTGTAAACTTAAAAGTAGCTCACACACTGCAAAGCCTGAAGATTTGGAGTTCAATCTCTGGCTCAGTTGGTGGTGCACACCCCTGCGTGATTGTATACTAGAATGCAATATCAATCAATTGGTTATTGATTTCAATTGTTTGTCTAGCCTAATTCAGTGTGTAACTAATCTATACGAAAATTTATATCTATCTTTTTACCGATTATCTTAATAGTTACCGCTGGGATATACCTGAAATCGCTGTTTTTTGTTCTATATCATAGATATAACACTTCTGACAACTTATCCAGTGTGAAGTCTCGCAATAATGAAGATGATGTTGATACTGATTATCTTACTCAGTCGACAACAAAAGTTGAGACAAATCACATGCTAACACATGTTACAAATACATATTGTGATGTCCCACAGATTGGTACTAAAGCTTCAACAACCCCAGCTGCAACAACTACAACTAAAGCAAAGAAGACTGTGCCAGAACTGGCGAAGACCAATAATATTGTCGATACTAATGATAATAACTTTAAGCGTAAATCATCTACATGTGATATTATTTCAACATACTTAGAAATAGCTATTCGATCATGCATACAAGAGCATTTATTTCAGGAACGTTTATCAGATTTTAAAGTGTATGATACTGCAGATACAGTGAATAATTTTAATCATAGTTCAATGGGTATGAATCAGATTTCCAAATCAGATTATTCAGACGTCAGTGTACCTAAAGCAAATTCTATCGTGAGTCTTACGTGTTGTTATATTTAATTTCTTTTACTATTCATTCCTGTTTTGTAATCGAGTCATGAGTTAGTAATATCTTTGAGATTTCTTATTTTTACTTACATACAGGCTACTTCATTAGTGGTCTAATTTACTAGGAACCATCAACCTGTACATTTCTGCTTCATACTGTTTTTTGTATTCAGCTACTCTCGGAGATATTCGTTGTTCATTATTCGAAAATTAGTGCGCTTTTAGCCTCATAAGTAGCTTATAGAAGTCATCATTATGTGCTCCAACTCAGATGAGTGGATTTACCAATGCTATTAGTAAAAAGAAATGTTTTTCCTATATTTACTAATAGATACTTCGCTAGTGAGAATATTAGTTGAGTAAGCATTTGCGATAAAATAAACACATGATCCTGTACACCTTGGAAACGTCTACACTAAATGTGTGATATTTTATAACAATAATTTCCTTCAAATCTTCATCGGTCTACATCGAGTAAATAACTAGTCAGTTTTAATATATATTCTCATGATAAATTATGTTGAGTTGTTTAGTGCTTTGGCTTAATGGATATAACAGTACTCACAAGTAAGCTTGATTAGTAGTATCTTTTTACCAATGTGATGTTTAGTTTCTTTGTTAAACGCAATTAGAATCCGTTTTAAAAAAATTTTGAAGGTTGAACCAAATTACCAAAAATCTATCAAAATATTCTTGGTGAAATGTGAATATTAAACTTGCATATTACGAGCATTGACATTTAACATTTAGTATTTATTACATAATAGTAAGATTACGATCCTGAAAATACCTTGATAACACCTGACACTTGCGCGAAAACATTGAACCTTAGTTTTCATCCTTCTTAAGGGCTTTGAAGTAAAGAATCAAACGAATCAACTTTAATACCAATCAGTGTATCATCCAAACAATTTGGGATAGTGCTTCTGACCAATTAATAAAATATGATTTACGATTGTGTATTTGATTATGAACAGCTTAAATTACTTCGATTAGCAAAATGGTATATCCATAGTTTTCTCGAGTTTATTAGTCAGATGCTTTGTTTATGTATTTTTCTTAAACATACATTAAATATCTAATGTTTTTTAACATATGTGACAATCTAATCACTTTCTGACATGTTAGTCTTCTGAATTATCGTAAATAAATCATGTATATTTTGTGTTCAGTTATTAGGAATCCTCTTATTAACCAAGCTTTAGAGATCATATCCTTTCCAAAATCAATTTTAATAAAGAAATAATTATTATGTTAAAATGTCAATTATTTGCGTAACGAAAAGTAAAGATTCAATTTAAAGAGACTAAAGAGACTTGATTCAATTACAAACGTTACGGTACACAGGAAATGTGGGGAACTTTTTTGAAATTTTCATTTTAAATAGTTTTAAAGTTTTATAAAGATGTTGTAAAGAATCTTTTAGGGTTTTGTAACATTTTTTTTGCTCACTGTATGTGTTATCGATTGAGTAAATTCCAAAGTCATATCAATAAACATGTGATTACATAACATAGAAATAGTTAATTATTTGTTAGAAATGTTTTTAAATCATCAAAGCAGCTATTTAAGGTTATTGAAATGAGAAATTAGCATAGAGATGAAAAAGGTATCACGTGACGAGACACCCTAACAAACACTATCACCTTCATAATACCTTGAAAATTATTTGGTTTTATTAATGAATGTGTATGCAATAATTTACTTTCGTTGATAGTTTCTTTTTGGAACGACTTTTTTCTCTCCTGAATCTGATTTACAAAATCCAAACATTTATGTACTTTTTCCTTTGTTAGTTATTACTATTTGGTCTGATTAATATGAGTTCTTGAAACTAATTTTTTTCAAAGCATGTTTTTATATATTCATGTTTACGTAAAAGTAAGTTTTTGTTTGTGGTTTGAGGTCTTTGATTGATGAAGTTGAGATGCATTTTCAACACAAGCCAAACATTGATGTTGGTTGTTTGTTTGTCGATTAATTTGAATGCTTGAATTATAGTAACTGTTCATTAGGTGCCTGGCGTTTGCATTTGTCAAGACGTTAATGTCTGTTAAACATGGGTTTCTTAAAGTATGTTCAGAAAACTAGTAGGAACGTTTCTCTAAGAAACAATCAGCACTAATTTCAATCCGTTTCGGAGAAGCGATGATTACCAAACAAGACTTTTTTACCGTCCTGATTATGACTATAATCAACTAACTCTTTATCTCTTGCTTATTGTTATTAATATTCTCATGTTAACTTGATTTTCGTTTTAATTGCGTCCAATAATTGTGGAGTCACTTATTATTATCTTTACGCTTATGTAATTTGTTTTCCTTGTTATCTATAACCATTAATAAACACATCATCTTTGCTCTAGATTATTACTTTTCACCTTATAAATTATGTGTCAATCTTAACTATCTTTAATTACATAATTTGTTTCCTATTCTTCTCATAAGATTATTTTGTTTCATTTTGGATCAACAATTTCAAATGTATCAACTCAAATTTACTAAACGTTTGTTTGTAATTGTAAGTTGTTTACCGCTGGCGAGAAGCTGTGGAATTGTATGAATCCATTTTCTTCTTCAACTATTGTTTTCATAATTCGGATTTTATGGTTTTAGTTTTGTTTTCAACTTGAAATTGATCATATACCTTCTGTTTTTTTATACAGACTCAAGCAAATTTAAAAAATCCTGAAACTAATTATTCGAAATTACCGTCAACTACAGATCGGACTAATGAATCGAACGATCAAATTCTCAATAGATTAACTTATTACTTACATAATTTTAAATCTCGTTTACGAGAATATGAAAAACTGTTTGAACAGGATTATGGACGTAAGCCAACTAATTCAGATAAATATTCTAATCCAAAGGTTAGATTTTATTCACTTTTGTATACTTTACATTAAATTATTATTGTCAGTTAGGAGCTGTGAGAATGATTGAATTTATGGAGTCACGAACCAATCTACGTCAAAGCATCATTAAAAACCTGAAAGCATCGAATGGCCGTTTTTCTTTCAGTATATCCTCAACCGTTAAGGGTTCTCACGTGTAACCAAAGGCCCTGTGTTTGATTCCCACGTGAGGGTTCGTGGATGCTCATTTCCGAAGAGCCCCGATACTAAGATGAAACGGTCGTCCGTTGCTTGTAGGTTTTCAACGGTGGTTCATGATTTCAGTGATAGTAATATTATATATATCTGTGTGTAAAAATACGGGATTAAGGAAGTTCGCCGAGTAATGTGTCATATATTGCAATGTAACAAAACATGGCGAATTATGTCACAATAAAAACTAGAATAAGAATATAAAGTGAAAGATTTCAATTTGAAACATATCTTTCGAAATATGTACTTTCTTTTAGTACATATCTTGTTATTTGTGTAGTACTTAAATGAAACTATCTGTAAAATTACCAATAGCTTTGATTTTGTATTATGACCGTTGTCTCAGTCAATTTTTTAAATGTATGATCTATATAACATTATGGATAAATTCATGATGAATTTAGCCATTGTTTATTCTAAAACTGTATATTAACCTAAGAAAATTGTGTAAATACTGTTGGAGTGTGGTACTTTTTCGAACCAATAAATCGAATCAATCAAGATGTCTTCATTATTTGAATAGTGGTCTCCAGTACACCAAGAATCATATCTCTTACTTGATGGGTATAAAAAGTACGAACAATATTTAGAAGACGACGACTAATTTTAAATATATGTATCAGTCAAAAGTCATCGAAACTAAAGTCTTGCGTCAACACCTCACATATTATTTTTCTAACGGCAGCTTATATTTCAAAGCCTTTTTATGTTCATATGCTTTGTAATCTCTTTTTGTACCTTAATTCATGTAGTACATTTGGTCATACATTTGTGTTGCAGCTTTTTATAATTTGTGTATGGACTATGAAACTATCTGGCGATGTAAAGCTGAAACGATTTTTTTCTTTAAGATTCGTTAATAAAATGGTCGTCTACTTTTGGACCATTAGTCTTGAATCTGCTTTGTTTGCAATCTTCTTGCTGTTTTAATTTAAACTATAAACTCACATTCAGATGTTTTTATCTTGTTGATAATATCCTGGACAAATAACGATGAACTTTAGGGCTATACTTTTTACATTTGGTTTTATTGAAGATGTTGAAAAAAATGAGAGAATTCACTTTATTTCTGAAATCGCAACGGAAGGTGTTTTAAGCTGTCATACATTACTAATACATTGTAGTGTAACATAAATATCTTGGTGCATGTGATAACGTTTGAAGCTTCCGTTTAACTCATATACTCATGTGTCATTTGGTACTTTTACTGAACATTAATATTAATTCATCCAAACAGTCATCAATTAACCGGCATTTATAGAGATGGAGGCTATTCAGTTTGTTTATATGATAAGTCATGGATGACATTTCCTGATATAAATACCGTAAAAATTATTTGCACTGAAATTCAGTTTATCGTCAAATTATCTTGATATAAGCTTAATTTAGTGTGAAAATGTCTCAAAGTTAGATTAGTGATTTTGCAGCATATTTGATTCCTTAATTTTCTGGTTACAGATTGCTGAATTATTACGTCAATTGTCTGAAGTACAAGAAACGATTAGACAAATCAAATTATCAGGTAAAAGTTCTGATGGTATCATTTCTCCAATCAATAATCAGAACGGATATTCTTCAGCATACAATACATATGAAGATTATTCAAATAAAATTCAAAAAAACATAACTAACTCTATAAATAATAATATTCACAATGGAAATATAAATGAGAAAATAATATCATCTGCTTATTTAATAAATCAATCCTCAGGGAAACAGTCTTTACCTAAGATGGATAACGAAGGGAATGATTGTACAAGAGGTAAGATTTTTTATCTGTGAATTGTGATGAATTTCTGTGTCATATAAGAATTTATATAAAATGTTCGGAAACGAAGGCTACTTCAGCGTATAGTTATTCTCACTAACTTTTTATTCAGGTTCTATAGTTACGAATCTGAATATTATCATGGAATTCGCATGTCATATATATATATATATATATATATATATATATAGGTTATGATTTCGTCCCTTGAATCTTATAATTTTCTTGTCAACACTTAGAGTAAATCATATAACAAGAGCTACGAAACAATATTGATCACTGTTTCTAATCACTTGACTAGTAAATGTTTATCTTGGAACTGTTTAGTAGACAACAGAAAAAATCCATAAAGTCATTTCATTTCACATAATCGTTATATTATCACAATATATTATTTATATTTACAACAGTTTTTTAAAGACATTCCTTTTTACTATCATCATAGAACTTCGATCATCAAACAATTCATTTCCTTCTAAACCATCGGTCGTACCCAATAATAAAGTTGAAAATGAAAATGTATCTAGACAGTCGGATCTTAACAGACCAACTATAGAAAGTACATTTTTACTGCTTTCAAAACGATTAACTGAAAAGCGTATGATTGCAAATCGTCCCGAAGATCTTCATTTAATGACTCCAAAACAGGTAGTTTATTTTGTAGTTTTGTTCGATTCAAGTTGTATACTTCTATAATTCACAATGACATTTGTCAAAACATAATTCCACATTGCTTTTTTAGGCTCTACCAGTTTTGCTCTGAAATAAAGTTTTGTGATTTATCAAATCCCTTTGTTTAGGCTAATCTCACATGTTGAGGTATTTTTAAAGCGTATATATATCTACTACTTAAAATAGTAGTCAGCTTATGAATTAAAAAAAGATTTTAGTCAAGTTCACTACATGACTAACTCAGAATATGATATACAACCAACGGCACTCGGACGTACAGAACCCCCACAGTCTTAAATCTGAAAACAGAAGAAGCAGGAGTATTGATTTTTCGGTAAGAATAAAAAGTGTACAGAAAATCATGAGTATTTACAGTTACCTATAACATCATTATAATTCACCCAATTTGCAAGGAGGCAAGTTAGACCACCGTTCACTCATAGTGTGCCACGTTGATACCCACGTAAACTTTATCAGGTTCTGATTGTGTGGAAACTCTTCAACCGTTCCAACAGAAACTAAGTGTTAGAAATTAATTAAATTAATTTTAATACTGCTTTTTCTTTTGCTGATAATGTCATCATCATATTTTAAAATTTCAATTCGAAGTCAACAATAACAGAAATTTGAACAGGATAACATGAATTCATCTTAGATTGTAAGGTTCTAATCAACTGCTTGCAATTTTTAATATTGAGAAATCAAAATTATTCGCATAGGTAAAAATTACCTACATAAATGAATTTTAGTTGGAAATTGTTAAAACGAAACGTGAATAAAATTCGGAGAAAAATAGTATAAATACATATCATATATGAAAGTACATTCTGGGACCGTTGTTGCTACATTGACGTGGTGGTCAGGCTTGCCTATCGTGATGAAGCAATCGAGCTATACTGACTGAAACAACTGTTCCTCAAGGCCCTACTACGTCAGAAAGGTCGGTTGAAGAGCGGTAAGACTAAAAGCAACAAACCCAAGGTCCGAAGGCGAAGTTGTACTGCTGACTGTACAGAGGTGTGACAGCAATAAGGTCTTTCCTTCGGACAACCAGCATGACAGCGATGCTGCCTTCCCACAAGGAGGGGTGGGGTTAGAAAAGGTCGACCCTAAAAATGCACACCTCGCCTTATCCCACGGATATCCGTCTCCGGCGGTAAGGTCTCAACAAGTACGGAGCTAACACAAAAATTGCCCATAAAAAGGTCGTGTGTGATCGACCTCAAGCAGTTGTCCCATTGGGCACTGTGGTCACGCTCCCTGGTCACTAAGACACTTCTAATCCGATTTCCTTTTCAGGTACCTCCAGAAGAACCCTTCCACGGTGTGGGCAACCGTGAAGTGATAACCGCCCTCATACCTCTAACAGCACTCAGGACCACTGGATTCATAATCAACCTCCCTCTTTAATTCCTATTATTCCTACTACATCAACTTCAAACTCTAAACTTCTTTTTTCGGCTTCCCCCTCAAGTGTCACCCTAGCCAACGATTCTAGTGCTCAAACACTGTCCCAGGTCTACTGAAACCTCGCTCCACACTACACATTGGAGCCTTCAATGTACGCACCCTATGTCAAATCGGTCAGCAGGCTTCCTTGACTAAAACCCTAGAATATCGTACTATTGATGTATGCTGTGTCTCCGAAACACGCATACAGGATCCCAGTGAGGTCATTCACTTGACCTCACCTCGGCAAAACGGAGAGCCAATGGGATACACCCTCCGTGTATCTGGTGACCCGATGACCAGCTCTCGTGGACTGGCAAGAGTAGGGATAGCACTAAGCATGAGGGCTGAACAAGCACTGTTAGAGTGGATCCCCGTCAACAGTCGTCCATGTGCTGTCCGGCTAAACGGCTCCGTAAGAACTAGGAAGGATAGGGACATACGTCGTTGCCTTTTTGTCGTTTCTGCCTACGCTCCCACCGACTGCATCTCAGATGAATTGACAGATGAATTTTACAGAAAGCTATCTGAACTTCTTCAGAAAGCTAAACGTTCAGACATAGTACTCATAGCAGGTGACTTTAATGCCGAGATAGGTAGTCTAAACCAAACAGAAAGGCACTTAGGTGGGTATTTTAGTATACCGGCACAACGAACAGATAATGGTGATCGTCTGCTGCAACTGTGCTCAGACAACCGTTTATTTTTGGCAAACACAAATTTTAAGCATAAGGAAAGACATCGTCTAACATGGCGACCCCCTACACCAAACCAGCGATGGACTCAAATAGACCATATTGCCATCAGTTCGGGATGCGATTCTCTCCCTCGAAATGCAAAATGTTGCTTCAGGATTGGGTTATATCGACACCCGAACTAGTGATAGGGAGTGAAGTAGTTGAGTGTGTCGACCGCTTCACTTATCTTGGAAGTCTCATCAGCCCTTGTGGTCTGGTGTGTGACGAAATCTCAGCACGGATACAGAAGGCTCGACTAGCTTTTGCCAACTTGCGTCATTTATGGCGTAGGCGAGATATCCGTCTACCAACCAAAGGACGTGTTTACTGCGCAGCAGTTCGTTCCGTCCTACTTTATGGCTGTGAAGCATGGCCGGTAAGAGTAGAGGATATTCGTAGGTTACTAGTATTTGATCATAGGTGTCTTCGAGGTATTGCTCGTATATCCTGGGACCACCGAGTAAGTAACGCAGCTGTTAGGAAACGGGTACTAGGTAAGGATGGCAAATCAATTGATGGAGTAGTGAAACTTCATCAGTTGAGATGGCTGGGACACGTGTTACGTATGCCCAACCACCGACTAATCAGACGCCTAACTAAGACTCGTGAACTGTAAACACAAGAAAACCAAGCTGGCTTCAGATCTGGTCGTGGCTGCATCGACCACATATTCACCATTCGTCAGGTTCTAGAACACAGGCATACTTATCGGCGTCCGACAATGGTGGTCTTTCTTGACTTAAAAGCAGCATTTGACTCGGTAGACCGCAAGATTCTGTGGCAGTGTCTTTCTTTGAAAGGCGTTCCCCAGAAGTACATAAACCTTGTAAAGTCTCCTTACTCGAACACTACTAGTCGAGTGAGAGCTTATGGCGAACTGTCATCTACTTTTGCAACCTCAAGTGGTGCCCGTCAAGGCTGCCCACTTTCTCCATTTCTGTTTAACTTCATCATAGACCTACTGATGGAAATAACATTCTCGTCGACTGAATTCTCGGGTATTGATCTCCTACCAGGAGGTCCACTTATCGACTTAGAATACGCAGATGATATAGTCCTGTTTGGTGAAGATGCTGATAAAATGCAGTCTTTTGGTAGCACTAAGCAACAATCCCAGAATGTTTGGAATGCGCTTCTCTCCCTCTAAATGTAATTTGTTTCTTCAGGACTGGCCTGCGTCAACACCTGAACTAAGGATAGGGAGTGAAGTAGTCGAACGCGTTGACAACTTCACTTATCTTGGAAGTCTGATCAGCCCTAATGGGCTGGTATCGGACGAAATCTCAACACGGATTCGAAAAACTCGTTTGGCTTTTGCCAACTTACGTCACCTTTGGCGAAGGCAAGATATCCGTCTATCAATAAAAGGACGAGTATACTTCGCGGCAGTCCGTTCTGTCTTACTTTACGGCAGCGAAGCATGGCCTTTAAGAGTAGAAGACACCCGTAAGCTACTAGTATTTAACCACAGATGCCTTAGAAATATTGCTGGCGTCTGTTGGGATCACCGGGTAAGTAATAGTGAGGTTAGACGCAGGGTATTAGGTAATGATGGTAAATCAGTTGATGAGGTTGTTAATCTTCATCGACTGAGATGGTTGGGCCACGTGTTACGTATGCCTGAACACCGATTACCACGTCGTGCAATTCTAACGGGTGTTAGGGATGGTTGGAAGAGAATTAGGGGCGGCCAAACCAAAATGTGGCATCAGTGCTTGAAGACACTAACCTCTAGTCTGAGCCATGTTGGTAGATGCAGACTACTTGGTTGGGGTCCGCGTGACTTTCGTAACCGATGGTTGGAGACTCTTGGTGACATGGTTCAAAATCGATCACAATGGCATACACTCCTTGTCTTCCATTAAACTAAGAGATTAAAATCGCTTCATATCTTTCTTTCTACGAACTAATTCTATATTCCGGTACTGTATCCTTATATACAATCTTTCTCCTATATATTACCACCTTTAACGTAACCACTCTTATGAATCCGGTGTTCATCATGCTGTGCTAATGAGGTATGGCAACCTGTACCGATGCATATATGTGCCTGGTCCTACGTTGTAGCTGACTGACTGACTCTGGGACAGTGATAGTAAAAAGAAACCGATGGACTAGAAATAAGTGATTTCATAGTTAATTAACGCTATTTGTATATAAGAATTAGATGGGTTAATATTAGTTAGTTTAAAGTAAATTTATAGGACTAGAAATAAATTGTAAGGAGGATGATGTACAGATGTCTGTGATAAATCCGCCTTTCTGTGGCAGGTCCTCGTAAATTTATACTTACGGCGGTATCATGAAAGAAATACTTTTTTACTTTTGCCTGGTTTATGGTACATGTTGTTCACACGGGCTCCAAGATCCTAAGGAAACAAATAGCGTATAAACCTATTGTTGGTCACTGGTTACCATGGGACTGCATCTCCTATGTTGCTGCACTGCCTTATGGATTAAACCTTCACATCTAAGGCTCGGGGTGTTACCCTTCTAAGAAAACCACCTGCTTCGGTCTGGGCACATAAGCAATATTTCGTTCCACCCCATATCTATTTGGTGCCTCCTTGTACCAATGTTTATGTGTCTAAATAAAATAAAATAACTAGTGGGTAGTAATGATCTCTTGAACATCTTTCAACGTTCATTAATCTTTTTCCAAATCAATGTTTTACCTAATGAATTAATAAACCACTTCGATTTATTGTTTACAATATAACATACAGAATCATAACGATAATTATTCTCAACCTGTAGATAGTTATTAATAGTTTTTTTTTCGATTAATCAACCCACAATAACAAACCAATCTATACTGTTAATCTTATTTTATTGCTAACGTTTTTGATTTGAAGTATCTACTTCCTTCCGATTACAATTGTTTGTGATGTGATACCTAAGCCTTAAACAAAGATTAGTTATCCTTTAAGTTGATAAATAAGAGGTCTTATATTATTACATAATTCTTTGTCAAATTTACAACACTGAGTTTATGCATTGAAGCATAAAAAACAATTAGCATATTTTTAAGGGATTGATGATCAATTTTATTAAATATAAAATGTTATACTTTATTGTTGACAATCATGAAACTTCTAAATTGAACAGGTTCCAATTAACTGAGCAATATTTATAATGTGAGTGGACATTTACTTGTGATTTTATGAATTTCAGAAGCCATCTTAGTGTTCTACGAAAGATTACATTGTTTTTTTTTACTATGTATACGGTTTTATTATCATCTTGTTGTTCATATGAAGCTAATCAATCAATAAAACGTCCATCATTTCCTTATTGTTTTTCACACTCATTGTTTGTTAACTTTTTCTCTATAGATTGCAGCAGAAAAGCTCGCCTTACAAAAAGCCTTATTATATTTTGAAAATCTGCATGGACGACCAAAAGAACATCAAGATCGTATAACAATGAGACCATTATATGATAGATATCGTTGTGTCAAACGTTTATTAAATTGTTTACAATCTGATAATAATTTAAATATTGTTGAACACATAGAAGAAACTAGTGATACAGAACTTCAGTCATCTGTTCCATCGATTGATGATCAAATGAAACGGCGATCAATACTATCACCAAATTTAGTGCCGCTAATCAATGATAATAATATACAAACAAAATCTATTCATTCTACTGGTACAACTAGCAATAGTATCGCTTCATTTAAGTCAGTTAATCCTGTTTCTTATTCCAGTTTGCGATCTATCAACAGATTATATAATCCAGCCTCATCTATACCTAATAACAATCTACCTGTTTCATCTATGATGTCGTTGTCCACTTCCGCATCATTCAACCTGCCTATATATTCTTCGACTACTTCAGCCCAATCTACTCTTGGTAATAATAGTGATCATGTTAATGATAGATTGGATTTGGCTGGAAAACAACCTACTGTTGTTACATCAATTCCATCAACACTAAGATATAACATTAATCCTAACTCTACAAGGTTGTTCAGTCCAAATGAACGACCAACATATATTGATGAGAAACAGAATAAAAATAATCTTGCTTTTAATAAACAATCTTACAATTTGGATTCAAATGTTGATCTGAAGTACAATGGAATAGATTGTGATACAAAAAGTACCAGTGATAGAAATAGCAGAGTACCATGTGGTAATAATAATGAATGGTGTAAGTATATCTATTACTATACGGTGTGTTTTTAATCTGATTTTACCTGCTCTGTTTTGATTTGGCTGTTTTTTGCCACATACCCGTATTATTCATCGACTGGATTAACCATACTGTAAAAACGAAAACAAAAATTTTAAGTTGATTTAAGCTAGACCACTCTGGCAAACCTAGAAGCAATGGACGTCCGTTTCATCCTAGTATGGGACTACTGAGGAGTCCATTGCTTCCAGGCTTTTTAGGGTGGTCTATCTAAAATATAATTTTGAATCGAACCATTAAATTACTGCAATTTCTACAAACCCTCATTCTGACAAAAATCTTTCATTGAAGTCTTGTGTTAAGAATGAGTTGCTAGTAGAAATCTAACTTGCTTTGTTGGTAGCTAAATCATTCTTTTTATTAACCTAATCATTTTCATGAAGCTTTGGAGAAAATAGACTGCAATGAGTTATGTATCAAACCAATTATTCAATGCTAAACATGACCTTTCAAAGGAAAACTGTTGTCGTCACGGGTGACTGTCAAATACATTTATGCAAATTAAAGTACTTAATTAATTATGAAGTAGTGTATATTTAGGAGATCAATTAAGCATTCTCTCTGATCAGTATGTTCTTACCCTTGAATGAATCAGATTTTTCTTTATATTTTTCTCGTCACTTTAGTTGGGACAATTGGTTTGAGTAAAAGAAACCAAGATAATGCCATTCACAACTATCATGTAAATACTTTTAATTGTCATTCTCAATTCGTTAATGAAAATAACCAACATCCTGTAGAAAATGCGTTATCTACATCAACACATACATCGACTAGATTGTTTGATTCAGTGACATGCTCAAATAGAATTAGAAGTGAATTCTCCTCGCCTATTCGTCAAGAAAATTTCATCGGTGCTAGAGCACCATACTTTTCGCCTCCGCCATTATCGTCTTCATTTTCCAATCCGAAAACTATTCAAGCCAATATTTCAAATGAAGTTCAGTTAGGTACTAATCCTACTGCTCTTATGAAAAATCGCTTTCTCGACACTTCAGAAAATGCTATAAATACTGTGTCATTCAATGAAAAATGCACGGAGTGAGTTTATAACCAACAAGTTTAAAAAAATCTGTAAATATCTTTACAATAACACAATTCATTAATTACTGGCAGTCCTCAACGTTTAAACCATCTACTTTTCTAATTGTTTGTTTGTTTGTTCTTTTGTTGAACTATTTGATTGTAGTCAATAGAATAGCATTTTGTATTTTCACGGATTTATATTCTGTATCATCTAATATCGTATCGACACGTACTTGTTTACGCTGTTTGTACTTAGTCGGCAATAAAATGTAGTTTCATCTCTCTTCATATTGTTTTCAAGCATAATTGTTTCCATTTCTATAGCATGCCGCTGGAATTATCTATAATTTTTCACAGTCAACCTGGAACCTATTTCAGTCAACTTATAACCTTGTGGTTTGTTGGCTTGATCAGCTGTTATACCGTTTTGAAATATATATATATATCCCTTTAAATATTATGGCTATTAGTTACTTGTTAGTTAAATAATCAACGATCCTTCTCTCTTTCCTGTCATGAAACTAAGGGTTGGCTAAAATCATGTGACAATGAGGGTTGCCAATGTTCCTAAGCATTATTCTGCGAACTATAACGCTCTAGATTATGAAATTTCATGACGGAAGTCCATAATCCGCATATAAGCAGTACAAAACCATACATCTATCCAATCAATATCTTTTCACTCATTTCTAGGTTTCGAATAAAACCTAATTTAAAGTTTATCAGAAATCTGAATTTTTTCAGCAAAGACTGTCGTACATTTTTTTCATCACTTCTATTTTTATTTGTCATCAATTATCATTGCAGTTCGTCACAAGCTATTTCATCATCAGATTTTTCAAGTTGGTCTACCGCTGACTTGAAAACAGCATTGCGTACTTTGCGTGAATCAAAACGCCAATTACAAAAGACCTTGAAAGATTTTGAACACGAATTCGCCCAAACTACTGGTAAGTTGAGCTATCTTTAACATTGTATGTTATTGTCGTTTTGTTTTTCATAACTTAATAATGCCAAAATTAATTCTGACTGACTTATTGAATACACGGATTGATTCAGTCTATCTTCTGAGGTATTACCTATAATTTTTTAGATTTACATGAATGTGTATTAAATATCCAAGTAACAATTACAGTTTTTCTGTTATACAAAATTTTCATACTGATTTTTTTTTTAATTTATGAGATGAATCATCCTCAGTTAATAATCTTTGTCAAGTGTGGTATATTTGTTGTTGAGAGACCTTCAGTCGCCAGATCTCCTACACAGGATCGTTTTGAATCAAAATATTCTAAACAGTTATTTCTCTAATATTTGTGCCCACTAAGTTTCCTATCGAACAATAGGTTTCACTTACGATCATATTCAATGTTTACTGTAGTCCAAATGACGAAAACTACATGTTCCACTGAAAGCTTTCTATCCTTATGTAAAGTTTTACACAAGTATATGAATTCATTGTAGTTTGTAGCTCTATTGTGTAGATAAAAAGTTTCAATCAATTAAAAACATATTAAAATGGTATTCTTAACATTCTTGCCAAATGATTCCATTAAAGTTTATGTATATGTTCTTAACTGAACATTCACCGACATCAAATCGGCAGAATCCTAGATAAAGCAACTTAATCAGTTCGTAAGTTGAGGTAAAATAAATTAAAAAGATCTCTTGAATTTAAGATACATTTCAAAACATACCATTATGATTGATAGATTCATTTAGTAAATGATGTGAAGCCGTTTACATCCCTTTCAACATATCCATGCTTCGTCTTACTGTTTTACAACGATTAATTCGTAAATCTTCCTCTAGTTGTGTTCACTTCACTTGATTTCTGTTCTACACTGCTATTTCCCTGTTATTCTTACCATGATTTGTTATGAACATTTCTTTTTTGCGTTTTTTTCCTATGAGGCCATATGTTAAAATATGTAGCTATTCTGTGATGTCATATGTTATTTGAGTATGGTTGTAATCCTAGTTTGTGATCCCATTCATATGATGAAACAAGAAATCAGACTAATTTATAAGCTTCTTCAATATTCTGCGCATTCAATTTCTTTATCCGATTTTTTACTTCTGATTGTTCAAACGTACGAAGTTAAATAGAAATGGTCAATTTTATTTGATAGTGTTAACATACAAAAGCAATTCGGTTAATCTTATTTCATAACTGCCTTTTAAAATAAAAATTCTATAATGAAGTTGATCTGTGAGTAGGTCATAATCTTAACAGTTTTATATAAATTTTAATCATCCAATGTGTATATCTAGCTATCCTTTTTTGTTTTAACAGTAAATTCAACTAAATCCTGTTAATATGTTTAATATTCATTAGAATATATATAGAGATTTTTTGTATGTATTCACATTACTTATTTTCTTTCATTTGTAAAGGTCAAAAGGTAGAACGAGAGGATCGATTATGTATGCGTTCAGAATACTGTGAATACAAAGCGTTAAAAACACGTCTTTTTCAACTAGAAACTGAACTGAAAGGTCGATGTGCTTAAAATTAATGCCTATTTTATTCTATTATATTTTTAATCATATTTAAAGGTCGTCTATATTGTGAAAGTGATAAGATGATTGAACTTTTTAATACATTGAAATTGAGGGAGAGGAAGAGAGAGGGAAATGGTTTGAAAATAAAACTTGTGTTTTATTCCTTTTTTTTCAACACAAATGAATGAATTAATTTTTATTGGGATAATTTATATTTATAAACATATTCATCATTTATTTCTGCCAATCATTAAATCTTTCATTATTGTACATAAATTCTTTGAATGTCGTTTATGTATTTTGAATGGAGACTACAAAGATTTCTTTTACAGTACGGATATTTGTTTCCAACGTTTTTACCGTGTTTTTTTCTATAAAAAAAACTAATTGTATACACGTAAGTTAAGTACTCAATTCAGTTAATATAATTTGAAGTGTAGTTTTATTGGTATATCAAAATGAAACTGTAATAAATGGTAGGGTGATTGAAAGATTTTATGGCCAAAACATAGTCAAAATTATCTTTTTTAATATATCTAGACAATTTCTTTTTTAAAACATGTAACATTTCGTATTATTAATCTTAGACATTGAATTCTTTAAAAAAATCTGTTTACATATTACTTAATAACTTGATTAGTAGTCCATTTTGGCATGTATAATTTTTATACGACCGTTTTAATTTTAATTTATTTCAATAATAGAAATTAAGGAATTTCTGTTCAACTTTATACTTATTTGCTTCATTAGTATTTCTGATTTATTTTATTTTGTATATTACATTCTTTATTCCGAATATTTATTGGTACCCTTTTCATTATTATAACCATAAGAAGTCTTCATTCTTGTAAGGTAGATCATATCATTTTGTATAGTATAGTTATAGTATAGTATATAATTTTGATATTTCGATGATACTTTATTTTTATGACATTGTCATGGAAGACATAGTGATTATGTCTACATGAAAAGTGTAATTTATTTTTATGTAGAAAAACAGGATGATTTTGAACTCAGTCAGTCAACAGTACACTAATTCATATATGTGTTGGTGTATGAGTTTTATTTAACCAATGTATAGAAATGCTATATGTATATTTAGCATTGTATATTACACTTTACTTCTAGAAAATATATTCAATACTAAATAAATATTTATTTACTAATTATGATTTACTTTGCAATGTAAATGTCTTTATTGAATTCTTCAAAGTTTTCTTAGTAGTACAAACATATTTTCTTAAATGACTTGATACAAACTTCATATTATATACTAATAGATGAAGTTCCATTGTGAATTTATATATTGAAAATAAGTTTCTTTAGTAAGTATTTCTATTCGTCACATTCTGATTTACCATGATGATTTAACGGTATTTGTTCTTTTCAGTATATATACACCGAATCGAATTAATCATCAAGTTGTTCACGTCAACAAAATGAAGTTTTCGTCAACAGAGTATGCATAAACATATTCATCTATTCTATTGCTTCTTTAAGTCCAAAATTCTTGTTAATCTATTGTATAAGATGATGAGCATAAATTAAGCACAGTGACTTACAGTTAATTCGTCTTTGCTTCCAATAAATATACGGATTTACCTATTTTGTGAATCCTAATTGGATACTATTAACTTGGCAAGTATGTATCCTCAGCGTTGTTTTGCTAGTAGAAATATTCGATCTCAATAACTGAAAAGTTTTAATTATTCTGTCATATATTTGTCATACTTTATAGATAAAGGCGTCTATCATTTAACGATTGATCCTATTTTTATATTATGATTTCGTTTATTTGCTACAACTAAACCAAACATACCAACTTCATCATTGTACAGTGATCTTACTTTATTTCTGTGAAATATGGCTTCTTGAATTGAAAGACATTCGTAGACTACAAGTTCTTCATCATAAGTATCTTTAAAGCAGAGGTGGTCCATTTTGGAAGAGTTAGGTAAGCAATCTTGGGGCTAGACGTAAGGTAATTGGCAAAGATAAAAAAACAGTTTATGATCCTGTGAATCTTTATCTACTGAGTCTTTCACTCTACAACTGCAATGTCGTGTGCTTCTATATTCCTGCTGTAAATTTTGTGTTTGTCTGATGAAGAAACTTAACCTAATGGATTTCTGTGCTAATCTCTTTATTGATTATGGCTGTCCAGAAGTCGCTTATGTACAACCGCAATGTAGATATTCATATATATATATATATATATATATATATATATATATATATATATATATATATATATATATATATATATATATATATATATATTGAAACAACATAAAAATAGTGTCTAATTATTATTCTATGTCCGAATTTCGGTCTAGCCAAATCCCGATACATATAACTTAAGAACCAATCTAATCCTAATGTTATCCTCATTAATTAGAAATGATTATGGTATTTTACATGTACGTGATCGTAATTTAAAAAAAAGCAAATAAACATTGGTACAACCACTACTGAAACGATCGTTTTACGGTTTTAAAAAAGTTGTTTTTAGATCAATTGGGTGTTTTAAACGCGTTACTGATCAAAGTATTACGTGATTTTTTTTACCACAACACTACAAATCAAATCTTTAGTTGTTTAACAAGTTTCCAAAAGAAAATGGAAAAAACAACAACCACACTTTACATATCTATTTTTAAAATTCTTAACTAGTTAGTATTTAGAATTTCTTCTTATCCACTAATGGGATATTCTGGTTTAGATGAGATATATTTATCTAGTTCTTAAGTTGTGATAAGGGTGACTATATATTAAGGTTTCTGGTTGGCCAACGTTACCTGTGAATTAAGTTGCGATTGAACTATTAAAGCACAAACGGTTCTGTCGTGAACACAATATCAGTAGCTGGTATACAACACTGCAACAGTTAGCCGTCCACATAGGAAGGAGAGGACGTTTAAGAAAAACCTGACATTCAAGCGGAACATTTCGAAACCGTGCACCTCAGAATGTACAACAATGAAAGCATGATCTGTAAGCATGCAAAGAATTAGCGAACTAAAAGTGGTGACAGCCAATCAAAAGAGGGTAAAGATCATGCATAGTTTGATTAGAAAACGCACTTGAAGTTTCGTTGCCGGTATGAATTTGGCATTGTTAATAGAAACTGAGTAATCCAGTAATCACGTTGGCATTAATTTTCTGTATTAGCAGTATTCTTGAAATACAAGTATTTTAACTGATAATCTATTGCGATCAAATCTTTAATTTCTCTGTTAATTTACATACTTGGTTTCACAGATAGGCATAGGAAAAGTTTCGAAATAAAGGAAATGTTTTCTATATGATTTATTTTGTGAATGATTGTTTTAATAAGTGAATCATTCGCCAATTACATATTAATTAGCATATATTTAGTATTGAATTGTCAGTCGTCGACCAAAATTTAAACCATAGTAAATCTTAGAAAATATCAATTAATACGCAAAATATACTATCTCAAGTCAGTTTAAGAAAGTCCTCATCATTGTCCTTTTCACAAAACTTAACGCAATCAGGTTTGACATTAAATTCAACTATGTGTTACTAAAGATGTTCGAAAACGCCAAAAAGCATCTGAATAGTACTAGTTGTGTTGGTTGATCAGCTAGCGGCGTTCTATCGCAGGATCTGTCGTTTTCTTTTAAGTTACAAAATATGACCATCTGATCATAAGAAAAATCGCGATTAACTCAGTCAAGAGAAGTTTTACTCGATAAACTTATTTTTATATTATTACATTCATATATAAGTAATAGAAAGCATAGAGAGTTCTAGAAGTCTCCGTTGGCTTTCAGTGCTTATCATCTACAGGAATTGCTGACGTGGTCTACAGTTAATCTGAAACTAGTTTTCATCCACCTGGTGCTCATGAATGTGCTTCACAAGTCTGTGAGTGGTAGGACCAATTTACTAATCTTCAAAGAAGTAACCAAATTTAATTTTATTATTTAAACATCAAAAACTGTCATTATATGATGAGAATCGAATGAAATAAAATAAATTTATATTATTCTCAGTTTTCTGTTTTCCCTGTTTCTGATTTGGTACGTGATAAATGTGTTTTTAAAAATGAACCACGTCCCTGGATTTACATATATCCTACTGATGAAATATGTAAGCAGTTGATGATGCGTGTACGACATATATAGTTTATGATGTATACACATGCAATGGGTGTGGTGTGTGCTACTGATGTTGATAAGTATAAGTGGTATGTATCATCAATCGAAAGTAATATGATAAGGCTGAGGAAATCGAAGAAAAGAGAATGACAACAGAGAGTGATTGTTATGAAAACGAAGGAACAACAAAGTCTGAGACGATTGATTGACATTTTTCAAATGACGTTTTCACTGTATGGTTGATAGATTTTACCAAGATATTCTGTAATGTATTAAGATACATTTGGTTGTTCCCACTTGTGTTCTAGTTCACTAAAGGGTAAAAAATATGTTTTAAATAGTTTAGCTAATTGTACTTTCATTACTATGATTAAATTAAAAGCAACGATTTGAAAGCGACTTAGATATTTTATATCACCTAGAGTAGTATGAAATGAACGTCAGAGAACTATGACATTTCTAAATTTGCTAACTCGTTCAGTCCTATCATGTATAAATGGGGTATGTGGACAATACAGAAATTTCCGGCTTTATGATGAGCTACTAACAGTTATATAAAACAATTTTCTTTATCAATGTGTATAGAATGATAATTAAGAAACTATAAATTTAAGTGAAAGTAAAACGTCTTTGAAATAACATTATAGGATATTGTGAACCTTCATTGGGAATTCGTAAGTGATTTAATAGAAGGTTTAAGAGTTGTGTAAAAGACTATCATTGATCATAACAATCAATAAATACATAGAAATTTCCAAAAGGTTACAAGGTTCATTAATGAGGAAGAATGTATTTGTAAAATCTCAGGTTCATTCAATTCAATAGTTTGGAAATCAGGACATAAGTTGAAATAGTATATAAAATAATTATTTATAAATCTATATGCAATCACCATACAGTATTGAAAATGAGTGAGTTATCTTCATTTATTATACATGACTGTATATCTTTATGTTAGGACCCGAGGAACATAATGAATGATAACTTTAGGATCATTTTATGGACCAATACTGTGCGCATATTTTTATCGTGTAATTGTTAAATAACTAAACTATTCATATTCATGTTCCTCTTACTATAAGCTTTATTTTGATCCATTCTTGAGTTATACCCAGTATATTAATGACTACCTCCTTCGTCCACAGCCACATCTAGCTAATGCTTGTACAAAAGTTTTTTAAATATTTTATTGGTACGTTGTGGTCTTCTTGATTGGTATATAAACCGAGTATGCTTGAAATACAATGATTTATATCGCAAAGGCTGGAACTTGTGTTCTGGAATTAACTGGCTGGGCTAAGGACCAATCAGAACTCTAGGCTGCTCATACGGGATTACGCGTCATTACGTGTCACTGCTCTCTAATCGACGGTCACAAGTTATAACACTTTTAGAATAGAATATTAATATCTGAAGAATATATTACAAAATATCATGTACAATGATAAAAAACAACAATCAGTTGTTTTAAATATTCTCTAATGAATGCCTTCAGTATGGAACCTTGGTCCTATTGTTTAAAACTATGTGATTAAATTGAAATACAAGTTGTCCTACCTAGATATAAATATATTACACATAACGAATATAAGTAAAAATAATTTAAACGATAAATGATTTAACAATCCTTATTTTATAATTTACTCACTAATCAATGAAATTTAGACCTGAATAACGTATTCAGTTATTCTTCGATAGACCAATTGATCTGAATGAAGTAAGCCTTATCTCTATTGATTTCATAAATGAGCCCTAAAGAGTATCAAACTAAGATGAAACAATCATTGTTAATGGTAGTTCAGCTAAAGTAAGACCATGATTTGAACTACGTTAAAGTCGGGTATTGTCTAATAGTCGAATCTATGACACGATTTGTTCTATCTGTGACCCATCAGTCAAATGCACCTGAATATCGGTGTTGATATTCACGCTAGAAATGGGGTTCAATGTCTTTCACCTCAAATTCCAACGCGTTATCCACACAACTACTAAGTTCAGCTAGCAACTGACTTGTGAAACAGGGATAAATAATAATTCAGTTTTAAAGGCTTAAACCTTTCCGTTGTTGGTGTTAAGGACTGCAACTGATTGGTCCCCATTTAACATATACTCATCCTGATCCAACTCCGCCTGGAGACCCTCTGGAGCTACTGCCGGTCCCAGGCGCAGATAAAGGAGAAGGATTGAGCATGGGGTTGGAGACCTCACCCCGT